TTTCTCAGGCACTTACTCAGTAGTGAGATGTGAGGTTTCTCTCCACATTCACACTCGTTTGGCCTCAGCACTTTGGGTGCCAATAGGTCTTGGCTTGCCACTGGGACTGGTTATGGCCTACAAGTCCATCACTGCATATATTATGCAGTATTAGCCCTATGTAAGCCCAGATGGAAACAAAAGCTTCTATAGGAGATCAGTGAAGATATTCAAACATGAAGGCTATTGATATAGGAGTGGAAAATAGTCTTTATTATTAAAAAGAATAAATAAAGTCCTTAAAGAGAAGGTGTCAGGTTAACACAAAAGCGTTTATGATTTTAATAATTTGTTCCCAAGACAATTAGGCAATAAGTTACCAAAACTTTTCACTTGTTACAAGTGACCAGGCTCCTTCCAAGCATCAGCTTCATTACTTGCTACCCACGTAGCTTTTCCTCCCAGCAAATCCAGAAATAACGGACAACTAAGAGTTCCTCCGGAAGTTGTTCCCGAGTGACCAATGATCATGCTGTACATTCCTACAGATCCTCCTGATGAGATCAGCAAATACACAGCACCACATGCACAATTCCACATCTACATTCCGATATGTTGCCCTCTAAGGAACACGACTTTGGAAAGAGATGCAAATCAGCGCACTTGAAGCCAGTTCCAAGACAGTAAACTGAGAAGTTTAAGAATACATATGTCTTATTTGCTAAGAATAACATTTCTTACTATTTACCTTTCAGTATTGTCAAGGCAGAAAGCGATGAGAAAGGTGTCACAGAAATTCATGTCAAAAAAAAAAAAAAGAAGGATATCTCCTTATGGGACAGCATGCAGAAGAAAACTGTTTCTTATATTAGTAAGCATAAATGCTGCTAGTTTCATATTCTGGTGTAACTGAAAATTTGGACAAGTTATATGTTTATACAAGAAGTAAAGAGATAACAAGTCTGCTGGCATTGATTTAGTACCTACCCTTTATAAAACAATACACAATCTTAGTTGAAGTACCAGTGTTTCACAACATCTAGTCCATGATTCTCTTCACATATTCTCTGGTTATGCAGAGAAACTTCTTTACTAACTTCAAACGACAGGTTCTGCACTTGTGTGAAGCTCCTGGAACAAATTAAGCAAGCTACATCAGTTACTTTGGAGGATAACAACTTCTGCTTAACCCCAAAGGCTATGCGCCTGGACATTCACATCATTCTCCTACCACGCAGCCACCAGAAGAACAAAAAAGGTAATGTGAATTTTCTTCCCAAAGGCTAGAATTTGGAGGAGAGGAGGGGCAGTTTGCAGGAGGGAGAGATGCGTGTGGCCTTATGGTCTAAGATTTTAGCTGTAATCTCTTCTGGGGAAATGAAGGAAGGAAAGGAAATCTATGTTTTATCTCTTCCTCGTGCTCTCAGCGATACTTTGTATTTGTTGAGACAATACTCGAGGAAAAAACCTTTTCTGTGCTCCCTGTAGCTCCTAAAGGATGATAGATTCGTGTGGTTATTATTTAAGACATAGTGCTACCAGTTCACTTTTCTGTCTCCTGGAGTTCTCCACTCTCCTACATATTTGCACTTTACCAGGGCTATTCTTGCTCACTGTAATTCTCAGCTAAAGTGTCAATGACACAATTCATTTAGAATACACAAAAAAACCCCAAGTATATTTACTCTGACTGTAGGTAGGGTAGGGACAGAAATACAGATGTTTGCTCCAAACAGAATTAAACTTAGTCCTACTATCCCCTCAATTAATCCTCCTCCAATATACATTCTGGATATATTCTGGAGAGATCTATAGATTTTTCCTCTGAATATTTAGCCAACGAGGCTTTTCACCTGATTGTTGTAAATACCTTTGAAGCTCTTTATCCAGTTTCTGAGACACTTCTTTAAGCTCTTTCAGTCCGCTAAATGCTTTTGCACTTTCTTCTGAGTGGCTTGGCATAACTTCTGCCAGAAGTTCCTGTGTGATAGTTAACTGCTTTCGCAGTTCATCTACAATATGAGATGTTAAAATATTATTCAAAAATGCATGCAGCGACATCAGTTAATACAAGATTACTTAATAGCTGCATTAACCAGAGACAGGGGACCTAGATGATGGAAAACTACTGTTTGTTCAGCTTTCACAAACACACCATGAGAAAACCGTGAAAGCCAAATTATTTTTAGCTATGAAGACTAATACCAGCAACAGGCTATTAAAATTGCTAATCCAGCTGTCATTTGGAGTATGTCCAAGATTTCTTACAAGACAAATGCAAGAGAAAAAGCAAGTTTTAAAACATCCAAAATTCCCTGGCCAGTTACATATATTGCTATTGGCATGTACCCCCAACATGAAATTTATCCAGTCCTTTCCTTTAGCATTCACAAACCAAAAATACATATTTATTTCTTTCAAGCCTTCTTACAAGCATTCTAAGATCTTCTATAAATCTTTTCCATTTGTTTTAAAGTGTAATATTACTGTAAATCCTTTAAGAATCTTGTTTCTTACAGACCAGCAGTTTAAAAATGTAACTTTTTGTCCCGACTTCAATACAAAACACAAGTACTAGTTTAGGTTGGACTCGATGATCTTAAGGGTCTTTTCCAACCTTACTGATCCTATGATTAAACAAACATTCTCTGATTCAAGACATCACACTATATTTAAGCTCTAGTTCTACAGGAAACATGAGCAAGTCTACCCATGTGACTTCATCCCTCAAACACAGAAACAAAAAGAGATCACTGTATTTCTACAACTCTACAACTTCTTTACCCATTAAGAACAAGGAAGGAGAAGGAATGCCATGAATACAGTTAAAAGATACAGATAAAGATACAGATAAAGATAAAAAGATACAGATAAAGATACAGAAACTTCAGATACAGAAAGTGTATGTGAAGACTGCCCTAGTTTAGAAAGTTAATTTTTTTCCTGCTGCAGGATAAAAAACTTGTTCAAGTGCAGTTTAGTGGTTAAACGGAGACAAGAATTATTCATAGCAAAACATGTGACTAATGCTGCAGCCCAGTGTCCATACAAGCTCTAAGAGCATACAAAATTCCTCCAGCGGCCACAGATAGATCTAGCAATAACAATATAAGAATTTTAGCATACCAAAAGAACACGATTTCTGAAAGTAAAGTTGATGAATCAAATTTTCATACCAAGGTATGTTAGCATATCTCCTTCTATGTGAATATTCTTCATGGGTAATTCATGTCTAGTGGCATCCAGGGAATCTGCAAAGCTTTTATATTGCTCTTTAAACTGCTCACAAACAGGAACAAGGGAAGAAAGTACTTCCATCTGAAAAAGACACATGATGAACCAACACTTGTTCAAAAGCAGCCATTTTGTTATTACAGACCTGGCTCAATACAGAAAAATAATTTATAAAAAAACCCCAAATACCGCTCTGAAATGCTCATTGACAGAGGAATTCAAGAAGTTTGCGGTACGATACTCCTACCATGCTGTTTAATAGGTTTTCTTCTACCACCTCAAAATGCCTAGGTCAATACCAGTTTCTTTGTTCCTGTAGCTCAGAGGTATTAGCAACACAGCAGGCAAAGCATTTTATATTTGATGCTTTGACTGTAGTTAACAGTGTATTCTCCAAAAGACAAAAGTCTTTATTAATTCTTGCAATGCATATTTGTTAAAAGCAAACATAGGTTCAGTTTTGAAAATTAATTATTCGAAAATTAATTATTCATTAGAAACTTGCCTTCTTACAAGCAGGCCAGAACTATTGCTGCCTAACATCTAAAAATAAGACAAATAAAGAAGATGTTCGCTTTTCATTTAGGGTTAGCATCTCAGCTCTAGCCATAACTGTAATTGCATAACCGCAAGATGTTCACGTGGTTTTAAGATACCTGCATCTCCTGTGCATCAACTGTAAGCTGCTCTGGCAACCAGGGCACTTTTGCTGCCCCTTGCTTAATAGCTATAACTTCTCTTTCCTGCCTAACCACAAGGGACAACAAAAACGTGACAAAGGCATTTGCTTAGGTTACTAGAGAGCATAACATGCCACAACAGGAAGAATATATTTATTTTAAGATGCATAAAATTGTACCCCAGCAGGCCACAGAAGCAGAGAAATCTTCTCTGGATACAAGACTGCTTCGTAAATGAGCCTGTTATATAACACATATAAAATACAATATAATTTATATTAAATATAGCACAAAACCTACCTGTTTGTCTAACGCATCATCAAGTTTCTGCTCTCTCTCTCTGAGTAGAATTTCACGCTTCAACTCACAGAGCTTCTCCTGTTGTCTCTCCTTTTCCTCACACAACATTAACAAGTTTTTTTCTGCTTTTTTCTCTAGCTCAGCAAGATTTTTTCCTGCCTATTACATCAAAAAAAACATTCAGAACTGAAGTAATGCTACATCTAAGTAATGAACATATTCTGAATAAACAAATGCAAGCCTCAGACCAGGTCAAAGTGCTTCAATGAACAAATCAGAGACCTCATGCAATAAGCACAGTACATTAGAGTTAAACTCCCCCTCCACCTTCTTCCCTTGCCCCCACTAATATTTTTTGTGAAGGAAAAATATACATATACAGCATTGAGTAAACCAAGAACAAAGTCACTGCTACAACCTTGAATTCCAAACACTCTCACTCACGGTTTTCTCAAAAGCTCTACATACCCCTACACTTCATGAGGAACCAGCACCAGCTTACTAAGCTGGCATTGAATTTACTCTAAGAGAGTTTTCAAAGCAAGTCATACAGTTTTACAATCATAAACATATAAAGCCACAAAGATCTAACTTTTACATATCAGAAAGCATAGACAAGAAATTAAACAATTCCTCGATATCAAGTCCTTCTATCTGGAACACCAAACACTTGACTAACACTCACCTTTACTCACCTTTACTCTTAGGTAAGTTAAAAGCAGTGTCTGAGATTCCATCTCTTTCATCAGATCATCAGCATCATTTCCCTTCAGAAAAGAAAAGAATATAGTAGATCAATTTTGGTATTTAAACAATTATTTTTTCAATATCCAAATAAATTACAGAAAGTCCAATTTGTGCCTGGAATCATCATCATCAACAACAACAGTCAGCTCAATGAAAAAAGTTTGGGTTTTTAAACAATGCATGTTAATTAAATATATCTCTTTGTTCCACCACTTTTTATAACACTGTCAGCAGATTTTCGTAATACTGGTAGAGAACTTGAAGCTTCAGTGCTATATTGAATGAGATTCCTAAATAAGGCACTTTAAATTAGGTTGAATCAATGTTAGTTTTCCGAGCAAAAAATATTTAGAGAGATATAGTCAGAAAATATGTAAAGATAACATGATTTAATGAAAAAGTATGGACAGGAATGTAAAAAGAATTGACCTGAGGACTTGACTCTGCTATAATTGGAGCAGAGTCTTTACCACAAGAAACAGAAGCAAAGCTTCGGTCATTGTTGGGACATCTAATAAAAAAACCAAACATTGCTAGCAATAGAACAGACTTATCCTCTGACTTCTGCCAGAAGGCTTTAGATCATCTCAGGACCTCGAAGTTATCATCAAGATTAAGGATAAACAGAAAATCTTCATTTCACATATTTCAAAATGAATATGCTTAACAAATGAAAGCAGCAAGACTCACTGTTTCTTCGGGTTTTTGATGTGTCCCTGTATTTCCTTTGCAAGCAGAGTTTGAAGCAGGAGTCTTTTTGTGGACAGTTTTATCTGTATCACAACAGAAAAGTTATTGTTCTCTTCTACCAAAGTACATAGGGTGGGTCAACATACCATCAGGTTCTTCAAAGGCAAAGATAATTTCAAAATCATTATGCGTACCAGTAAAGAAGGCTTGCGCTCTATTTCTGGCTCTGATGATACTCATGAGAAGATGTGTATCACATGAGCATTTAGGTCTAAGTGCCAATTGCAGACAGATGTGATACAATTTTCAGAAGGGCTGATATCTAACATCCATAGGAACAAAGACTTGAGAGTACTTTGTTCTTTAATATTTGATCTTAAACAAAAAGAACAGGGCACCCAAGAGATACTAAAAATCGAGAGGTTAATTTAAACCCTGAAGGTCTTAATACCTCTGCTTAAAGACACTTGAAGTAACATTCACCTTATTTCACAAAATCCTTTCGTGACTATAGAAAAATACAAGGGTTACTTATCATCAAGTTCCTGCATGTACGTTAAAAATAATAAAACAAGAAATTGAGTATGAGTGGAAGTTTACCATTAATAGCTGAAAGATCAAGGTCCGGTGGACTGGCTTTATCTTCATCTAATAAAGTGGACTGCAAGTCACCTTTCTCAAAACTACTCTGATTTAATGAGCTAGAGACAACACCTGTAGAAAGAAGCTGTTATTAAACTAAAAGAATTAGCGCAGATTCTGCACAAGTTCACAATATATATGCTTTCACTAATATGTGGTTACCTTACACAAACTTTTACATATTTACTTATATACACCATTTGTATACTCCCTAATTTACCTAGAGATAAGGTAGTTCAGAATGTTATCTTCTTAAACATTTCACAGTTCAACAGCAACGCTCAGATGTGAAAAGGGAATAATGTTATTTCCTCAGGATTTTCAAGTCAAGTTAAGGTCTTGCCAGAAAACTCTTTTGCAATTCTTGCAAAAGAAATAAAAATGGACTGGTTTGCAGACAGGGATTTTCAGTAATTTACACTGGGTTTACTAAAAAGATTAAATAAAAAAAGCAGGGCAATGGTGAGGGCATAGTAAAAGAGTAGTTCAAAGCCTTGTGCAGAAGGCAAGAGATGCTCATTGTAGACAACACAATTACTCAATTCCAGATTAGTTCTCTATCAGAATGTGTAGACAAGAGTTTAATGCACTTCAGTTTACACCTCTTAATCCCACATCAAGTTTCTTAATTCCCTTTGTATACACATAATAACTAGCAGTGATGTAAGTAATACAAAATATCATCTCTTAACAACATTTCAGAGTTGTTAAGAGTTCCACAGGTTGGAAAGACAAATTCACAAAAGAAGAGCTTTTAAATTCTGGCAAAACCTACCAGCAGAAGTTTTACATTGCTGAGGAAGCGATCTTGGTTTAGTTGCAGAAGATGGGTTACCAGCAGATGTTGAAAAGGAATTTGCTGAAGTATCCTGACAATCAAGAAACAGAAAAGACTGAACGTAACCAATAATTACGATCAGGAATATATCTTACGTCCGACTTGAATGCTGACAACAAACAGCTACAATCCCAGGGCGTCTTGGTGCTCTGCTAGTCACCCGAGTACAGTCCCAAGTTCCCATGCCAGTCTGCATCTAGTAATACACCAGGATTCCCTCATAACCCCGGCAGAATCACTTTTTGCACAGGTCCTATTTCCACAAGTCCGAGCCACCCCTCACACCATTTCTATCCTTTGGTGAGCGACCCTTCAGCTCAGCAGCGAGGCGTCCAAGTACCTTCTTGGCGTCTTTCTTATCGTACTGCAGGTAGCGAGACTTCACGATTCTTCCCCCTGAAGAAGGAGCAAAGAGAGCT